CTTTTTGTTTTTTATTTTTGATAGAATCTGTTTTATTAAACAACATGGAAGGACAGAAACTTCATGTATAAAAGACTAAAATAGAACTGCTCTGTTTGTGTCCCCGTGGGGTTTCTCGTCCCCCCCTCCCTGTGAGGGGCCCCATGGAAAGCTATTTGGAGATACTAGAGCCCCTGGATGCATGATCAGAGAATCACCGAATGAGAAGTTCTCCTGGATTCCTTCCAGTTCTGGCGCTTTTAAGGTTGTGATCATTCACCTGTGTGCCCGCACCTGGGCTGGGTCACCGCCTTGTCCTGCCTGGCAGCTGGGAGCGGGCCGTACCGCCTGCAGAGGGAAATGGAGTGAGCTGTGTCCAGCCTCGCCTCACTTCCTTTCTCCCTCTCCTGGTCTTGTGATACAGCTCTTCTTTCTCCTAATTCAAGTGGGGGTCCCCCCTTCCCTGGCCTGGGGCCAAGGTGCCACCCCCCGAGCCAAGAAGGAGGATCTCGAGTTGCCAGTACAATTTCACCCTCTGGTGGGGCCGCGGAGTTCTTGGCCCACTCTGTGTCCCTCCCCAGGTTAACATTGTCGTCACCCCCCTCGCCTTGCCCTCTTCAGGGCTCTCATTGGCCTCTGCTGGGATTAGGGGCTCAGGCACCTCAAGGTTATAGATGGAGAAGGTGGACTAGCCTGGCCCTGTCCCAGTCTGTGAGTGCGCTCCAGGGACCAGGAGGGGAGACCTGTCCCCTCTGACTATTCCCTACTCCAGTTCATCTCAGAACTCTCAAGAGTGCACACTGGCTCAGGCTGAGTTGCCTAGGGAAGAGGGTCCTTTCTTTTCGTCTGCAGACCATCAGAAGCCAGCGCCTGCTTGGATGACTGTCCCCCTCCCTGCTTCCTGAGGACAAAGCTGGGCCCCTTTCCACTTGCCTCCAAGATTCCTTCCTGAGAGACCAGCTGTGCCTGCCACCTTCCCCGTCCATTTCAAAGGCCAGTGACCCCCAACCACAAACAGAACACTGTAGAAGGTCTGGGGGCAGGTTGGGAGTTGAGAGAAGATGAGGGAAGGTGGATTCCTGTGGGCTTCTCAGGATGAGAAGTTTCTTAAATTTCTGGGTGAGACATGAGAACACAGTGATAGGAGAGCGACTTACCCCCAGGGGTTGCAGCAAATGAACGTAAATAAAGCGGGTTCAGGGTAAGAAAAAGGTAGTGCTGGGTGGTGGTGATGGAGCGAGGCATCGCCTCGTCCGCTTGGGGCAGACCATACTGACACTGTCACGTGCAGCTGTGGCTGGCTCACTGTCCCTTCCACCTTTGTATGAGGACCTGGAAACCCACGTTTGTGTAACATTCCCAGTTTTGGAGACTGCACAGAACACGAAGCACCGTGGCTGGTGGGTCCTGCTGCCAGGCTGCTCCTTGCCCCCTTGTCGAATGCCCTTCCTCCTCGTGTGTGCCTCAGAGATTGGCTCCAGCATTTTTAACCGGTGGCTAGATGTTCACAGGGAACCGTCTCCTGGGAGTCGAGGGGCCTGTGTGCGTTTCCCGTTGCGGTTGTAACAGACCGGCACAACCTAATGGCTCAACCAGTGCAAGTTGATTATCTTACAGTTTTGCAGACCAGAGGTCTGGCGTGGGACTCGCTGGGCTAAAATCAAGCCCTGTCAGCAGGGTTGCGATCCTTCCGAAGGATCCAGGGGAGAAGCCACTTTCTTGTCTTTTCCAGCTTCTAGAGGCCGCCCGCAGGGCTCCGTCGGTGGCTCGGTCCTTCAAAGCTAGCAGCGGGATCCATCCTCACGGCGTCTCTCACCACGGTTTGAAAGTGTCCCTTCCTGTAAGGATTCCCGTTTGGACCCACCAGAGAATCCAGTGTAATCTCTCCATCGCAAGGTTGTAATGTAACCACACCTGCAAACTCCCTTTTGCCACAGGAGGTCATGTCTTTGTAGGTTCCAGGGATTAGGGTGTGAACAGGTCTCTTCCCTGGACTTTTCGCTTTGCTGCCGCATCGTAGGACAGACACCCATGACGACAGGGCTGATCTCGCCTTGTAACCTGGCCCACTCCTCCTCCACTCAGGCTTCCTTCCCTTTAGGGGATGATTTCTGGGGGCCCCTTGGGTGCAGCCTTGCCCAGCCCTTGCTCTTGGCAATGTCTGTTCCCAGCCTCAGGGTTCAGAAGCAGCAGTTTTGTCTTGCTGCCTCTCCCTGTGGCGCTTGTCAGCTGGGATTCGTGACAGGGGTGTGGAGGGACAGGCAGGGGTGCGGAGGGACAGGCAGGGGTGTGGAGGGATGGGCAAACCTTCCTCCCTCTCCCCAGAGACAGCAAAGGCTCCTGGGGGCCTGTCACCAGAGTCTGAGTCAACATCACAGAGGCTGAGGCTGAGGCCCCAAGGGTAGGAGCAGGGCCATGTTGACTTGGGTCACAGCTCCCGAGGGACGGGGCTCAGCTGGCCGGCTTCCCGTCCTCTAGGTCTAGCTTGGAGCATTGCAACCAGTTCTGGTGCCACAGTTAGAAAGAGATGCCAATGTGGGCAAGCTGGGAGTGGGGGTGGGGACTGCAATGGACACATGGACAGTCTTGGAAACAATCAGCCATTAGGTGGGAAAGGGGAGGACACAGGAATCCAACAAGAGCACATTTATTTCTGTTCATTGCCAAGTTCTTTGCTTGGGTTCCAGCAGCCCTCCTCCCCTCCCCAAGAGCAGGATGAGGAAGGCTGGTTTTAGCCGGTGGAGTGAGACCCACCTGTGACAGGTGTCATCCTCAGTCCCCTTGGAGGATAAGACTGATGCTATCTTCGTGATGACTAGGCTGTGGACCCTTCTCTCCCTTGAATGTTTTAGGTCCCCAACGCGCACACACACACGCATGCGCACACGTGCACATGCACACGCACGCACACACGCACATGCACGCGCACACGTACACACTCTCGCAGCCTTCAGCGGTGCAGTTAGAGGCAGGCAAGGCATCGTAGCGTGACGTGGTCACACATGGATTCTGGACCCAGAGCACCCAGCCTTGAATCCCAGCTCTTCCACGTACTGTGTGTGTCCTTGGAAAAATGACTTCAACTCAATTTCCCTGCTCCTACGCAATGACCATTTCACCTCCTTCACATGGTTTTTATAAGGATTAATTGAGTTAACATCTGTAAGGTCAGACGAGTACCTGGGCGTAGCCAAGATAGGGCTTCATAGACAATCAACGTGTGTGATCTGCTCTGGGGATCATCTGGAAGCTAGTTGTTGGTCAAACGTACTTTAGCAGCTATACTTCTCTACTAGAAGTTAGAAGTAAATTCCCAAGTCATTCAACTTGACAGAACCCGAGGGGACTTAGCTGAGGCAGTCAGACGGCACGTGTATGGTTGTGACTGGTGACATGCTCACTGAACTAGAACAAAGGAGGCGATAGTTCTGTGTTCTGCACCAGTCAGACCATAGTAATAGTCCCTCTCAGAGCCTGGTTCTTTGGGGTTCTTTCTCGTTTGGGCAGAGAATCAATGCATTTCATTAGAATCGACTTTCTTCATGACGGCCTCACTATCCCTCGATACATGGGTCCCTCCACAGTAGCCAGAATGTAGGCCCCGCGGATAGAGCTTGCCGGCTTCCCGTCCTCTAGGTCTGGCTTGGAGCATTGCAACCAGTTCTGGTGCCACAGTGAGAAAGAGATGCCAAGGTGGGCAAGCTGGGGGTGGGGGGTGGGGACTGCAGTGGACACATGGACAGTCTTGGAAACAATCAGAGCCACTAGGTGGGAAGGCGGAGGACACAGGAGAGCCAGGAGAGCTGGCTTCAAACCATGGGAAGGGCTGTCAGCAGAGAGAAAGAAAGAACACGTGCTCAATACCGACTGTGCTCGGAGCTGGGTGTCTCAGCTAATTAAATGCCCACAGCAGCCCTGTGGAAGTAGAACCACTGCGTGGAACCAGGTGGGGAGGGCAAAGGCGACAGGTTGGTAGCTCTCGGATCCCAGCCTCGCGCTGCCGAAGCATGACTGCACGACACGTGTGTTGTGTCACAGCTTTCTGACATTCAGAGCTGGAGGAATGTGTGGGAACTGTGCGGTCCTTCCTTCCCATCAAGGATGTCCAAGCAAATGCCTGATGACTGTCATCGAAGACACTGAAGAGTCGATCGAGTTGTGTCCTGGGGAGCGGAAAGGGAACCTCCGTGAAGGCGCCTCCGCTTTGAGCCTCTGAGCTTCTATCCTTAAGGGTCGGATATACACCTTAGACATAGTGTGATGGTTTTCTCTGTATTTTCCCCTTCCTCTTCCATGCTATCTCCTCCCCCCATTTAGGCAGATAGCCTGTTCTGGGGACATGCCTGTTTTAAAAAGCAGGGATGTGGTAGCTGGCAGTTGGGCACTTGGGAGAACAGAAAGACATGCTCTGCTCCGGTTGTTGAGTGGAATGTTTAAATAAGTGTACTAAAGGGAGTGTGCTACACTCCGCTGAGGCAAACCTAGAACGATTAGCCGAGGAAGCAATTACATCACATCTCCTTCTCTCCCCTCCAGTTCCTTGGCAACAGGAAAACACAAACCTCTGAAGGTAGGATTTAGGCTGGGATGGGTTTAAGATAATATTCTGCTATCCCATCATAGTGGGGACTCGCTATAGAAATCAGGTTGACTTTTGCACATTAAGTTATATTTCTGAGGCACTTGAGTTTGTGAACAGAGACAGACATCTTTTAAACTCGGGAGATGAAGGGTGTGCCCGCTGAGCAACTAAGCGAAAGTGGTTGTAAACCTGACGTTCTTGGTCCTCTGCTGCCCCTGTGTGGACGTAGCTGGAAACAACAGTTCAACATTTCGCTAAGCAGGCGTGTGAAATTGGACTGGGGAGAAACCTCCCCTAAGGACCGGTGGTGGAAGCTTAGAGGCCGGTGGGGGCTTCTGACCAGTATGAGGGAGTCAGGAACTGCTGCTGTCCCCAGCAGGTCTGGGGTTCTCGGGGAGAGGTACCGCGCTCAAACTAGCTGTCAATGACGTCAAGAGGCTCTCTTCTTGTCCACCATCTTTATTTTTTCTCAAGACCCCTGGACCCAGTAAGCGAGTGATCATCTAAAGATTCCCAGCCACGCACCTTTGCAGTTTGGGGCCACAATCAGCAGCCGTGGGCACAGTGCCAACCCTCCCACACCTCCTCTTCCTGTGCTTGGAGTAACAAGTCTGTGGGTTTCTCCCCGGGGTTTCACAGCTTTTATACCACCTCTTCTCCGGCTGTCTCCCCACTACCCCCTCACACAGCCCTACACCGTCACGCTGCCTGCCGCTCTCCTGACTCCCTGCACACGCACAGGGCAGAGATGACCCTTTTGTTCTGACAAGCGAGAAAGAGGACACTTGGGCATGAAGAGGGGGAAGGGCTCTGAATCACTGGGGCTCCCTGGCTGGAATCCAGCGGTGTCTGAATTCCAGGACTGACTCTACCTACAGCCTGGTTGCTTCTTTCCCTGGTCAGCTCCCTCTGGGGCATCCATCCTACTGGCCACCCTCACACCCCATCCCATCAAGACAAATAGCAATGGTGGGGCCCTCTCCCTCTCCTGCGTGGAGGAGAGGATGGGTTATCTGAGCCTCCCTGCACCTGCCCCCTGGGCCTCCTCTCTCCAGCTGGGAGCAGGGACCCTGTGCCTGCCCGAACTCCCTGCCCCTCCCCTCATGCCTCCAGACTCTGCCGCAGCCTGCGGTCCAGGGCCAGGAGCTGCCTCAAGAAGCCCCGGTTGGGAATGATGCCACGGTGGTCCTTGACTTTCTTGATGGCCTCCACGAGGGTGAGGTGATGGTACAGCATGAGGTAGGCCAGCACCAGCGTGGCGGACCGACTCACCCCCACAGCACAGTGCACCAGGATCTTCCCTGCGAGGACAGACACAGAGGGGCGGTGGGGTTTGTGGGGGGTCGGACAGTGAGGGGGAAGATGTGAGTACGGCTGCATGGAGACAGGGTGGGGTGCAGATGAGTGGACGTGAGAATTCAGATCCCCAGCAAATTCTCTAGACCAAATGAGATGGCGCGCACACAGCGTCCGTAAGTCCAGAGACGGCTCAAAGGGAGAGACTCAGAAGTCATGCAAAGCCGGGCTCTGTGCAGAGCAGGGCCTCATATTTGCTGAGCACATCAAGGGCCTAGCCTGGCCCCTCCTCAGTCTCCCCCACCCTTCCATCTCGCTGTTTCTATCAATCAGATTTTTTGGTGTTTAATGCATTTTTTATTTGTATGTACTTTTCTTCTGATCACTAAAGCAAGACATGCTCAAAGGAGAAATAACTGGACAGTATGGAAATATGTAAAGTAGCAAAAGATTGAAATATATCACCCACAATCCTACCACCCAGGCACAACTTGCCACTCTCTTCACATGCTGGATTCATTCCTTCTCATATTTTTAATGTCTTTGTTATTTCATGTATTTTTTAAATGGCCCAGGGAGTGTTTTCCTTTCCTTAATATTATATCGTGAGAATTTTGTCATGTCATTAATCTTTCTCTCCACACTGGTACCCTCGGCTTCCCCCTAACTCACCCACCACCGCCCCCCTCCTTGCTCTCCCCTCCTACCTCCAGGCTGGCTCAGTGCTCGGTGGATGAAGTCGGCAGCAGTCTGGAAGTGGATGCTCATGTCAAAGGCGGGCGAGTCATGGGCCTCAACACCCAGGTAGCGGATGCCCAGCCCCTCGTAGGCCTCAGGTGTGCCCCGCCACCTGCTGTGTGAGGCATTGAGGACGTGGGTGATGCCCAGGCGCCGGAGCTCACGGTGGTTGTTAGCTATGTCCCTGCATTGAGTAGAGGTTAGAGGAAGGATGGGGAAGCAAGGCTGTGCGGCCAGAGTCCCTTGTCAGTGCCCTGTCCACTGCCAGCTAATGCCACTGGCCCTCGGCCTCCACTCTGCTTGCTGATGACCCGGAAGGGAGGGACCAAGATGGGCAAGGACCTGGAGTCTTGCCCTGGGAGGTTTTGCCAGGAGAAGAAGAGACTAAGAGGGTGGGTGAACAGACCGGACTAAGGGAGGTGGGTGAACAACAGCCATAATAAAATACTGAAGAGGCTGTGGATTCTATTTGATCTGTAGGAAGGATCTACTGGGCCCGCACTTCATGCAAGAAGTCCGTGCTGACAGTGGAATCAAGCTGAAGAAGAACCGAGCACCTTGGGGGAAATTTTCCTGTCACTGGGTATTGGAGCAGAGAGAAGGTCATGTGGGGGCGTGGATGCAGCAGAGGGGACTGGGACAGCAGTTTGGACCAGGTCACATTTGTCATCCCCACTAACCTTGAGATGACATGATTCTGACCTTTGCTCCCGCACCAGAGTCCCCTATCACTTTATACTCTCCTTGACCCCCAGAATTTTTGCCAGTTATTTCATGCGCACATATACCCTGTTTTATGACATCACCTTCAGGTGTTCATGTGGCCCATAGCCCTCAGCTTAGTGGGAGACACCTCTCAGGCAACATGCTCATAGCTCAGGGCAAACGCCCTGTCCAGTGCCAACTCCTCAGGTAGAAAGAGCACTGAACTTGAACCTCCAAGTCCTGGCTCCGCTACTTACGACCTGTGTGACCTTGGGCCAGTCACTTCTCTGAGCTTCAGTTTCCTCATCTGTAACCTGGGGATAGTGGTACCTACCTCACAAGGCTGTTGTGAAGATTAAGAGAGAAAATGCATGTGAAAAACTCTTTGCATACTGTAGAGCCCTTGGGAGAGAGAAGGGGGGACTATGTTTCCTCTGACGCTCTTCTCTCCACGGCCCCATGTTGCAGAAGCTCTGCACACACTGTGGCTTTGCCTGGTCAACCCTCGCCTTCCTGCCCACTGCTCCGGCTCCCGGGACTGCCTTTCTTTCAGAGCCATGGCATCGTAGAGGGAAGGCCAGATGTGTCATCTGGTATGTCTAGTACAGGGCCTTCCATAATAATTTTTGCTAAATAAAGGACATTACTGAACAGAGTCTTTCTGTCCAGAGTTGGGGAGATCAATAATCCTGTCCAATCCCCCAAACCCTGCAGCTTCCACTCTCTGCCCATGCACCCCACCCCTTGATCCTCAGTCAGGAACCGACAGTGCCGCTCTGTGCCTCTCTGCCACCCTTCTCCTGTCTTCTTGCACGCGCGCGCGCGCGCACACACACACACACACACACACACATACATACACACACGGCTGTGGCCCTGGTTTGCTGGGTACATACTGGTCTCCGAGGTAGAGGCCTGGCCAGACCTCGTCGGCGTGGTTACAGGCTGTCTTGCCTGTGTAGAGAAGCCTCTCTAACTCAAAGACATTGAGGAAGGGATGGTGAACAGCTGGCATCTCCTCCAAGGCGCCCCTAGTGCGAACTGGAGACCTTGAGCTGCTCCGTGAGAAGCGGGCCCTAAAAGTCATGGAGGCCCAGAGCCAGTTCCCAGGGCACATCTTAGAGGTGGCAGAAACCGCGGCAGCTGTCCGAGTGGCTGCAGAGATGGTCGCTCAGCCTCCAGGTAGCTGTTGCTGGAAGAGGAAGGGATGTGAAACACACCTGAGTAAGTCCAGAGAGCTGTTGCTTTTCCTGCCAGCTGGGCTGGGCCCCAGGGAGAAGGTTCTCCAGGGAGGGAAGGGAAGTCCTCCCTGGCGAGGCCTCCAGGATTATCTCCTTCGGCGGCTGCGGCAGCTCCTGTTCTCTCTGCTCTTTTGGTTCTGCCATACAAGGAGGTGGGAGAGTCACATGTCCTTGTTTACAGGGAGAGGGAGCTGCCCAGCTGCCGGGTTTCTACTCCAGCACCCTGCCCCCACTCCCACCAGATATTCATAACACACACGAACATTTGGTGTTTGGGTGGCAGTGCCCAGGCTGGAGCTCTTGCCAGCCCCAATCTGGGTCTCATCTGCCTGGGGCTGCAGCCAGAGAGGCTAGGGAGCTGGGATGGGAAATGGGGGGTAGCTTTCTCCATCCATGGAAAATTAACAGGAAGACAAGCCGCTGTTGGGGCCATGTCATGTGCCAAGCCCGCCTTCTCCTCAGGTGCCAGAGAGAGGGGCTGCTTTAACCCTTTCCCACCCTACCACTGACTCAGAGATAAGCCTGCGCTGGGAGGCGTCTGTTGGGGGGGTGGGGAGGAAGGGGAATAGCACTAAAGAGGAAGTGTAAGTTCTTAAAGAAGACTTGCTGAATGCATGAGCCCACAGGAGAAGGCGCCAGTCCATGTGCACAACAATCAACCACCTTCCTCTGATCGGCATAAAAGATTAAACATCATCTCTGATGTGTGGCTTTCTGAGTCAAGCAGGGCTGGAGTATTGTGTGCATGTGTGCGTGTGCACGCGTGTGTGTGCGTGTGCACGCGTGTGCATGTGTGTGTGTGGTGGGATGGAGGGTGGGAGGTTGCAGAAGGGGGAGGAAAGGGAAGAATGGAGGATCCTGCTGGGCCCAGGCACTCAGGCTGGATTTACCAGCCTCGCTCTGGGAGTTCAGCCTAGCCTCTGCCTCTCTGGTCAGCGGGCCCTTCTGAAGAAGGGGACCATGTGCGGAACTGCAGAGCTGGGAAGGGCCAAGCTTTGAGACATGCCCTGGGACCTTCGGGAAGAGGGCAGACTGGCAAGAGCCCTCTCCACCCCCTCCTTTCACACTGTGGTCCCGCAGGTCTGAAAAGGCAGGAAGGCTGGTGGGAAGAATCTCTCCCACTCTCTTCCCTGTCTTCAGCTCCAGAGCCCTCAACAGAAAGTCCAGCAGTGAAAGGCCTCTTTGTCCTGCCCACACTGTCCCCATCCCACACATTCCTGTCTTTCCCCAGCCCAGGAGAGAACACGCACTCACAGGGCATAGGAAGCAGGGGTATTAGGTAAGGGCTGGTGAGGGGAGACTGGTTTCAGGGGTGTGCAGGAGAAATTTTTCAGTGTCTGAGTTAGAGCACAGAAATACAGCCCTATAGCCGCCATCATCATCATCACCATCGTCGTTGGCATCTACCTTGTCTCCTCGGGCCGAAAAACCCCATCACTTTATTCCAAAACAGCCCTTTCTGGAAGCAGATTCTTCGGCCTGTGGGGTGCTGAATGGCGAAGGGGAGCGGGAGGGAGCCCCCCCCAGGGGACTCTGTTTCTCCCGGGGGTGGAGAAGCCCCCTTCTGCCCCGGGGTTCACCCCTCTGCATGCTGCACTCCCATCTGCCGGCTTCCAGGGCCCGGGTCTGCCGCCCCTCCCCCTCCTGCTGTCGCTGTTCTAACAGGTTCGTGACTGTCGCCCAGCCCTTGCCAACCCAGACAGCCTGGCGCTGAGGGTGGAGGGAGGGAGCCCAGGAGGGCACAGCTTGCCCGGCTCCCGGGCCCCACGCCCGGCCCCTCCCTGCCTCGCCGGCGGGAAGGCGACCCCCCGCGGAAGCCCCTCTACCTCCTGGTGCGCGGGCCTCAGTCCCCGAGGCAGGTCGCCGGCGCCCGCAGCCCCTGGGCCATGATCTCCCGCTGTCGCCGCCGCCTCTGCCAGACCGCGGGGCCGCTTGGCAGCTATTTTAAGCCATGACACGCACGTCGAAGCAGGGCTCGCATCAGCGTGTGCTGGTGACACACAGGGCCAGCCTCGCACCGGCGGTGGGAGTGGGCCCGCAGCGTGGCTCGCCGCGCCCCTCCGCCCGCCCGCGCGCCCGCCCGCGCGTGTACGGACCAGACCCGGACCGCGCGCCAGAGCGGCTCCGCCCGCAGGCGGCTCGCGTGCCTGTCTTCTCGGAGCTGCGCCAATTACAAGGCACTTTGCTTAAAGATGACATTATGCAAGTCGTCCCGATGGCGGCTCGGCACACACGCTGCTGCCCAGACAGCATTAGTTAATGACACAGACACCCAGCAGCCCTCCCTCCTTCTCTAGAACACCACTCGTAAATAACAGTCAGGAGCTCATTAGTATTTACTATACACCACGTGCCCCACGTAGCTCAACTCTGTGCTCACCACACGTCTGTAAGGTAAGCAGTGTTATTGTTCCCATTTCAGGAAGGAGAAGACTGAGGCGCAGGGAGGCCGAGGCATGTGCCCGGGTCACACCCTAGTCACTGCCCGAGCTGAGCTCCAAATCCCGGCAGTCTGGCTCCCAAGTTCGCGCTCTGAACAGCCTTCTGAAGCTCTCCACACCAGAGCCCCGCACCCAGGAGCAGGCACGGTGGGGCTCTGCAGGAGCGTTTCCACTGGCTCCGCTCAGGGAACCCCACGTTCCTGGGGCCTCTAGAAATTCTCGCCTGTGCCTCTCCTCCCGTGCTGCCGTTTAGGGATGTATTTCCCTCACCGGCTTCCCGCTCTGAGTACCGTGCTAGCTCCCAGACTCAAACACTTGAAGGCAAGGACTGTGCGGCCTCTCGCAGGGCCCGGCTTGTGTGATGGTGGAGATGGGGACCATAATGAAGGTTATCAGACGATGCTCTTGAGAGCCAAGCCATCCAAGTGCGTAAGGTCAGCTGAACCTGGTTTAGGGTGAGACAATGGTTATCAGCTGTAGCTGAAATCGGGCTCTACTGTATTCCCAGGGCTGGTAGAACAGGTTTGGATCTCCAGCTCAGAGGAGGTTCTGGCCAAAGTGCTGTGATACTCAGGTCCGTTCTGCACTGGAGAAGAGGTTCCGGAGGATGCTGACGTGTCCTACAGGCTCTTGTTCCACCACGTCATCCAGGCAGAAAATGCCGGCCCTGGCAACTCTGCCCAGGCAGCTCCGGAGGAAGCACACTCACCTCTGCGGATTATTCTCCTTCCACATCATACGACGTTCTCAAGAAGAAGGGGGGGACCCCGAAACAAAACACAAAACCAACCAACAGGCAACAAATTAGACAAAATTAGACATGAAAACAAACAAACAAACCAACAAACCAGGATTAAGTTATAGTTCCCACAACAACCATAGCCAGGCCACAAGTTTATACATTCAAGCATACATGATAGATCTAATCATTTTAGGACACATCCTTTGGTTCTGCCGGAGAGGAACAGAAAGATATCACATCTGCTTTTCCGTGGAATAGGGCTCATGAACTTGCCTTAACTTCTCTGCAATATTTAAACAAAAAAAGAGAAAGATATTAAAAGTCATTTTACCAGTCCATTAATATTTGGACCTTCTTCTCTTATTTATTGGAAAAAAGAAAGGAATTCGGAAGAAAGGAATGAGGAAAAGGAAACACATTCCTTTTGCTCTGCACTGTCCTCACCCCAGACAAGTAAGCCTTCCACTCTGTAGTGTTTAAGTCCAATATTTATTCTTTGCATCCTGCACAATACTTGGTACAATAACTATTGTCCTCAGCATTTTATGGTGAAACTTTTCAAACAGAAGACTTGGAAAGAATTTTATGTGAACACCAGCATGCCCATCACCTAGATCCAATCATTACAACTTACTTTGCTTTAGTATTTATCCACCCATCCATGCATCCCTCTAATTCTTATGTATTTCCAAGTTGCAAATATCTTTTCACTTCTCTCTAAATACTTCAGCATTCATATATTTAACTCAAATCGAATGTTACAAATGTTTTCTCTCTCTTTTTTTTTATCCTCATCCAAGGACACTTTTTTGTTTTTTGTTCAGATAGAGTGGGAGGGAGAGAGAGAGAAAGAAAGAGAGAGAAACATAGACGTGAAAGGGACACATTGAATGGTTGCCACCCACATGACCCAACCAGGGCTGGGGACAAACTGCAACCGAGGTACGTGCCTCTAGCGGGAACTGAACCCGGGTCTCTCTGGACCGCAGGCCGACGCTCTAACTACTGAGCAAAACCAGCCAGGGCCAAATGTTTTCTCTTTTGAACATATAATTAAATACACCGATCTTAAGTGTACTCTTTAATGAATTTTGACAAGTGCATGCATACACCTGTGTAACCCAAATGCTTATCACGATACAGAACATTACCCTCCCCCTAGAAGAGGCCTCAAGCCCACCCCAGCTGCCTCCACCCTCCTACCTCCCCAAGTAGTCACTGTTTCAGTTTTCATTTACTGCAGATGAATTTTGTCTGTTCTAGAACTTCAAATAAATGGATTTATACAGTTAAAAAAAAAAAAAGGGAAAAGTTTCTTGTTTCCAGCATAGACCTTATTTCTTTTCTAGGCTTTTCCTCTTTAGGGAGGTGAAGGTGCACCAAGGTTTTGCCATTTGGAATATTGATTTTTAAGCAGGTTATTAAAAAACAAAAAACTCGGAACTTTTGACCTCTCTCCTTCTCTGTCGAAGAGATTCCGAGGGAAAAACCTGTTCAGAAAGGGAACCTTAGCATTAGGCAGAAAGACTCCAAGCAGGAGCCTAAATTGACGGGTTCCCCATGGCTCACTGTTTTCTGGGTTGCCCAGCAAAATGTACCTGCCAGGTGGGTCCCACTCTTCCCCATTATCTGCAAAGCTCCCAGTCTCACCTTTGAAATCTAAGTTCTGTTCTCTCGCTTTCTCCTTTGTCCAAAATGACATATAGATCTAATTTGCCCTGGGTGTCTTTGGAATAGTCATGCTTATTTGAATTCCCAGTGCACACATATTAAAGCTTGATTTTCTTCTGTTAATCTGTTTCTGTTCATTTGATTATTAGCCCAGCTGGGAGCATTTAGAGGTGAGAGGAAAAGTATTATTTTTTTTTAGCCCTCACAGAAGCAAACTCAGTTCCTTCCCAGTTTCCTTGTGCCTTCTTTGTATGAGAATTTAAATAAGGAAATGAAATCCTCATAATTTAAAATAAAGAATTGACCTGGGAAATTTGACATTTTAATTTGTAGATTTGGGAAAACCCAGGGAAAAAAATGTCACAAATCAAATTGTGAAAGAGTGCATAGTGACATCACACTAACCTCATTTTAGGCACTAGAGTCTTCAGGGTTAGCAGATTGAGGAGACATTGTAGATGGATTTGATCTCAATCTTTAGCAAGACTTCTGTTTCAGCTCTGCACTGCACTTTACTCAGAAAGCTGGGGAGAGATGCTTTGAAGCATGCTATGGATAATGTGGGCAGATGTTTATGAGTAACCATAGATATTGTCCATGCATCAACATCTGCATGAGGATTATTTCCAGGGGTCAACCTACAACTTGGTGGCTTTATATTTCTCTTTGTAACTAGGAGGTTTATGTTCCCAGGTGACATCAAACTAAACTAAGGGTGGAGAGGAGGAAGGATAGTGGAGGAAAGAGTTAGCAGGGAGAAGATAATGGAGAGGGTAAGGAAAGGAGAAGTGGGATGTATTGATAATCTATTATCTGTCAATTCCTTGGGCTCTCACGTTTATCAGCTCATGTAATCCCACACACCTTTTAGGTGGGTATTATGATCTTCATTGAATTCTTTTTTTTCTTCTTCATTGATTTTAGAGAGAGAGAGAGGAAGAGGGAGGGAGATAGAAACATCGATGAGAAAGATGTCGACTGGCTGCCTCCTGGATGTCCCCCACTGGGGACTGGGCCCACAACCTGGGCATGTGCCCTGACCAGAAATCGAACCGGTGACCCCTGACCAGAAATCGAACCGGTGACCTCTTGATGCATGGGTCGATGCTCAACCAGTGAGCCACACCAGCCAGGCTTCACTGAATTCTTGAGGAGACTGACACTTGGTCAAATTAGGTAATTGACCACTAGTAAGTGGCAGAGCGAGTACGTGGCCGAGCTTGGGTCCAAACCCAGGGCTATCTGATTCTAATGTTTTACATTTCAAGATGAGGCTGAAGAATCACTTCCTCTATAAAGCCTTTCTGGATCCACTCCACTGGTCCATTTCCTTCTATGTGCTCGTATAGACGTCTATCAAGGCACTTATGAGCTGTATTTTACAGCACTTATTTCACTATTTAAATCTGTTCCCAATATTAGAAGTCATTTATGGATATACTACACTGGGATAAGGAGAACAGAGATGGAAGGATAAGGCTACTGGAAGATAGGAATAGACTTCCAAATGGTTTCAAAAGACATGCCTCCCTCCCCCAAACAATAATGAGAGAAAGGCGGAAGAAATTCAATAAGAGTAGAAGGGGGTGGGACAAGAAAGACCAACAAGTATATGTTAAGCGGTAGTTCTAACTGCTACCATTTAACTATGGGCTCAGCACTGTGTTGTGTTTTGCATATATTAGCTAATTTAATCCCATAAAGTAGGCATTATTAATTCTATTTTATAGTTGAGGAAACAGGTTTAGAATGGTAGCAAATCCATTCTGCAGAAGCCAAATAGCTAAAACATGGGACTTCCAAATTGGTTTTAAATGCAACTGTTTTAAACCAAACCTTGTGCCTCAGATCACTGCAGTAGCTTAAAAATCAATAATAGTAATAGTTAAAATGTATCAAGCCCAATGGTATGGCAGGCAATTAGCAGAAATTACATGAATCAGGAAGAAGGCATTTTTAAGGTGCCCTCCCCTACACCCCTTTTCCCTAGAGGGCCTTGGCTCATCCCGGCAATACAGTATTTGCTAATGAGTGCTGGAGGTTGGGAGATGCAGTTCCCTGGGGTGTCCCTGCTGCTTTCTATCCCTCCCCTCCTCGCTCCAGCAGGAGTACAGCAGGAGAAGTAACCCCGCCCTCGGTGCTGTCAGGCCCATTGTTCCTGGGCTGGTCCACCCTGTCCACTCTGCTCAAGTTTA